GGGATAACTCAAGGCCATTCTAGGCACCAAAAGGATAAGCAACTTCACAGCTCTCAGGGAAATTCATTGAATCAAAGAGTCAGAAATCTCCTCCAAAATTCAGCTGAGCTGTAAAGGAAACAACCCATCAACAAATGGAGGTGTTATATAGAAAAGATTCTATAGTAAATTAAACATTTAAGACCACAAGTATGTAAACAAAATACCCTCAATGATATTTATAAGATTATTCATGATATAAAGCTAAATAATCCTCTACTAACATGTCCAAAATTAATTTCACACTTTTAATCCTCAAACCTACTCATCTCAATTCACCATTTTATCTATACAAACTGGAAAACACAAAAGCTTTTCTTGATTTCTGCTCCCTTAGTTGGTATGCCCAATGACTTATCAAGCTTTATTTTTATAAATGATCCTCACAAAATCCAAAGAAGGGCGCAAAAAGACCTCTAAGTGGAGAAGTGTTTTTGTCAGAACACTCCAGGCTATGCCTCAATAACAAATAACCCCTGGAATATCAGTAGCTTAACACAGTAAACATTTACTTCGTGCTCATGTTACAGTTTGATGTAGGCTGGCTCTACTCAGAGGTTCTCCTAAGCCATGATTCAAGGATTCAGTTGCTTTAGCTTTTTAGCATGTTGTAGAATGGGAGACAATATATGAAGTATTTTCACAGGCCAGGCTCAGAAGTGATTTACATCTCTCCTGCTCCCATTCGGTTGACTAAAACTCAGTCACAATCTTCATTTAATCCTTAATCCTAATCAGTCACTCAGTCCTAATCTAACTTTAGGGAGGCTGAGAGATGTAACCTTAAGCTGTGTGGTAAATTCAGTCACAGAGACTGATAGCAAAATTATATTATTATATTATCATATAAAAGAGATTTTTCAGGCACTAAGATTCACAAACACTCAGGGTTCTCTACCTGATGACAAAATCCACTCCTAATTAAACTCTCCCAAAAATCCTTGTGGTTTCATCACAAAAGAAAATAAAAATACTGTCTTTCCTGTTACCTCATTCTGAGATAAAATATTTTTGTGCATACAATTCTGTGCAATTCAATAATTTACCTTTAGCATCCCCAGAAGTGCTACCCTTTCTGCAGTGTGGAATAAAATATGAAAAGTTCAGTTCAGTTCAGTTGCTCAGTCATGTCCAACTCTTTGCAACCCCATGGACTGTAGCACGCCAAGCTTCCCTGTCCAAACCAACTCCCGGGACTTGCTCAAACTTAGCCCATTGAGTCAGTGATGCCATCCAACCATCTTATCCTCTGTGGTCCCCTTTTCCTCCTACCCTCAATCTTTCCCAGCATCAGGGTCTTTTCCAATGAATCAGTTCTTCACATCAGGTGGCCAAAGTATTGGAGCTTCAGTATCAGCATCAGTCCTTCCAATGAATATCAGAACTGATTTCCTTTAGGACAGACTGGTTGGATCTCCTTGCAGTCCAAGGGACTCTCAAGAGTCTTTCCAACACTACAGTTCGAAAACATCAATTCTTTGGCACTCAGCTTTCTTTATGGTCCAACTCTTACATCCATGATACTGGGAAAACCATAGATTTGACTAGATGGACCTTTGTGGACAAAGTAATGTCTCTGCTTTTTAATATGCTGCCTAGGTTGGTCATAGCTTTTCTTCCAAGGAGCAAGCATCCTTTAATTTCATGGCTCAAGTCACCATCTGCAGAGAGCTTGGAGCCCAAGAAAATTAAGTCTGTCACTGTTTCCATTGTTACCCCATCTATTTGCCATGAAGCGATGGGACCAGATGCCATAATCTTCATTTTATGAACGTTGAATTTTAAGCCAGCTTTTTCACTCTCCTGTTTCACTTTTATCAAGAGGCTCTTTAGTTCCTCTTCGCTTTTTGCCATAAGGGTGGTGTCATCTGCATATCTGAGGTTATTGATATTTCTCCTGGCAATCTTGATTCCAGTTTGAGCTTCATCCAGTCCAGCATTCACATGATGTACTCTGCATATAAGTTAAATAAGCAGGGTGACAGTATATAGCCTTGACATACTCCTTTCTCGATTTGGAACCAGTCTGTTGTTCCAGGTCTGGTTCTAAGTGTTGCTTCTTGACCTGCATACAGATTTCTCAGGAGGCAGGTAAGCTGGTCTGGTATTCCCATCTCTTGAAGAATTTTCCACAGTTTGTTGTGATCCACACAGTCAAAGGCTTTGGCATAGTCAGTAAAGCAGAAGTAGATGTTTTTCTGGAACTCTCTTGATTTTTCAATGATCCATTGGATGTTGGCAATTTCATCTCTTGTTCTTCTGCTTTCTCTAAATCCAGCTTGAACATCTGGAAATTCTCAGTTCACATACTGCTTGAAGCCTGTTGAAGTACTGTTGAAGACTGACAGTCACCATTACTGTCGTTACCCCTACCATAGTTTGGCCTCAGGCCGTAAAACCAAATATGTGAACATATGTGACCTTATGCCATAACGTCTTTCTCTTATGACTGTAACCAAATGGCGAACTCTTGAAGACAAGAACTAGTTTGTGTTTCAGTGCATTTCTCAATACTTCATTCACTGTCTTATGTGTAGTAGGAGTCCTGAATATGTGCTATAGACAGTATACCCTATAAACTCATGCTGAATTGGGCATGGATACCACATTCAGCAGAATTTTTTATCTGAACCTATAATAGAATTTTATATCTTCAAATCTGTCCTGTGTCTCCATGTTGATTCAAATCTTATCTTAAAGTCTCTATTTCCAATCTGTCTCCCATTTCATATAGTTGTTTAGGAATATCAATGACAAAGAGTTTATAGACCATAAAGTAAAATGCATGACTATTGGCAAATTCTTATTCCCTGTGTTTTATTATTCACCTCTGAAAGTAGAACATAGCAAACCTGTCATAGCAAATCACCAGGTGGTATATAACTCAAATTGGATATTTTTTATTGTCACACTTATAGTAGGTGAAAATATTTTAACCATTTTACAAGCTTTATTACAGGTCATCTAAGGCAGACTAGCTGTTCTCCTTGAGGGAAGATACCAGAAGACTCTTGGGGGTAATTCAGCTCCCACCTTCATGAGAGCTACCATCAATCAACCAAGCTACTCTTTTGTGTATCCTCTGGAACCAAGATGGGCAGTTTAATTTTTGCCTATAAAATACTGAGATGGGTAAGAAGAGGAATTTCATGTCTTACTGTAGACCAAGCATCCTCTTGTTATTCTAAACTATTCCCTTTAGCATCAATCAATACATATAGAGACAGTGAAATCACATGTCAAAGTAAAGATTACTTTCAAAAAAATTCAACTTGAAAATATTCCAGATTTGAACAATAAGAATTTCAATCTATTATCAAATTCTCATGGAGAAATCAAGGTCCCAAAGTTAATATCCTGTATTATTTTAAGTTTTGTGTGAAGAGACAAAATCTTCACTACTGCTTTCTCATTTCAGCCAGAGGGTCAGTTGGCTCAGAACCCTGGACAGAGCCTGAGATCCTGTATCATCCTAAGCCTGGACTCTCTACTTCCTTAAATGCCTACCAAATTAAATTAATCTCATCAAGGCTTTCTCATGGCCCACAAGTTTAAATACCAGAAAGTTAATAGATAAAAATGTTATCACAGTGCCTGCTCCACACTCTCAAAATTTAAAAACCACAGCAAATTCCTAGTCTCAAGAACAAAGCTTTCAGTCAAAATGATGCCCTAAATCTCAAGGTACAGAACATTGAGATATGTAGCTGTTGCCAAGGCATAAACAGGTAACCAAGATCTCTGAGTAGAGGAAAGACAAAAAAATAGCATCCACACCTTTCAGCCTTACCAATCTCTTTGTCCAGAGTCTACTCTGAACAAAACTTGGAACTTATACTTGGTCAGAATAAAAGTCATAAAATTAAGAATAAGAGAATTTTCTCTGGTGGTCCAGCAGCTAAGACTCTGCACTCCCAATGCAGAGGCCTGGGTTCTATCCCTGGTTAGGGAACCAGATCCCACCTGCTGCAACTAAGAATTTGCAGGCCACAACTAAAGATCTTGCATACTCTAAAACCTGGCACAGTCAAATAAATAAATAATTTTTTTAAAAAAGAATAAGATATTTACCTTAATTGCCTAGGGGACGATTCACTTGTGCATACTCTCAACTTTTCTTTAGAGACTGCCTTTCTTGCTTTTTCATCAAAGTTTAGAAATTTTCAATGGTAGCAGCCCCAGGCATCAGTCATTGAGTTTGTTTGTTTTCTTCGATCCAACATACTAAACCTCTAAAAATATCCAACTTTACCTTGAACTTATGCTCCTGATTTGTCGGCGCTGGGTGGAGAGCTGACAGAGCCTCCACTCTATTTTAAGCAGGCATTCTAAGCATAGTGGCTATGGACAATGCCTCTGGCAATAACTGCATGTCCCATATTTTGCAGTAAGCACATTTGCTATAGACATTTTCGCCACAGACATGTCACTGCATAATTAATTGGTCTTAAGGAGGTTTTGCTGTGAAAGATAAAATAATTGGTTGACAGTTTTTGGTTTGACAGTTTGGTTTTAGCTGGTTGAAATGTGTTAGCATTTCTTCCAGCTAGTAACTTTACTGATGGCTTTACTGAGCTGATAGATTATGATTATTTAGACCAAGAGTTGATTTTTCATTTTGAAACACACTACATCGGAAGAGAGAGGCCCAGGCCCTCGAATGCTCAGAGTTGAACCCATATTTCCCATAGAACTCCATAATGTCTGTCAACAAACATGTGACAAAACGCCAAGAACAAACAACAGATACAAAGTTCAGTTACAAACATGCATCCTAGTATTTGGAACTGATATCACTCTTAATGAAAGAAGAAATTTTAGAGAAAAAGAAAGCGTGCGATACTGAAACAGGAAATAAATCAATAAGCCAAAAAAAAATATTCAAACACTACGAGCAAAAGACTTGAAAGACAAATGCCCACAAGATAAAATTATTTATTTGTATGATATTGCTGTGAAACTATACACATTTGAAGGTATTCATATATTATATATTTTGCAATGAAATCTTATATATTTTGTTATTCATGTTTCATGTTTCATTACATTCTTTTTAATTCCCTCTTTTACTTTTTGTGATTTTCTCTTTTACAGCAAATTAGTTATGCAGCAAAAATGCTTGCAGCAAAGATGCTTATGGAGAAAGTACAAGAATCCAAACATTGATATTTGAGGTGTATTATAGCAGCTATCATCACTTACCCTTACCAACATAGGGACCCCATCATAGAGAAAGTTATGAAGTCATGAGTTCTGAGTTTTCCAACTGCACTTGTTTTCAACCAAATTTGGTCTGACCATATCTCCCAGCATTACATGGTCACATTTTGAACATGCTGTTCCATCAGATTAGTAGTTATATCAAGCCTGGACACCATCTCTATTGACTTAGTATTTTTTCCCTTTAATATGACTCTGTGTCTGGCACAGTTGAAATGCCCTTTGAGGTCTCACAGTTTCTCACTTGTCTCCCAGATACTCAACTCTGGCCCAAAGAGAGCTCGAGATGCCCCTGCCAGCTCCAATAACTCCTCGTCTGTTAGCATGGCCTCCACTCTGCCTGCAGTGTCCAGAACCAGGACAGCTCTGGCAGCCAGCCCACAGGTTCATTCAGACTTCCAGACTTGGATGCAGTGCAAATCCATGGGGTGTGGAACCTGGCTTCCCCAAGAACGAAGTACAAGAGGGTGTCTCTGTAATGAGAAGTTTGAGTGACAGGTGGTTGTAGGAACTGATTAATTCCTCTCCCCTCCTCCTTCCAGAGATGACCCATGTGATTGAACAACCACCGGTGATTATTTTTGAAAATGTGGACAGCTCAGTCTCTCCCACCTTGTATTTGCTTACCCTCTTTTCCTCTTTTTCCTCATTCTCCCTGCCTGACATTGTACCTCCCAATGAAGTATTTGTATTAAACTTTGCCTCAGGTAAAGGAAGCAAGACTGTTTGAACTGGAAAAAGAGTTCTTTAAGGGAACGTTTGAGATCTTGGAGGACAGTCAAACTGATATAAAAGGAAAAGGGGATCTGGCCAACTCTAACTTCTCTTTGAGAAGCATATTTTCAATATTTTTAAAATTAAATTGTGTTTAAAATATGTAAAACATAAAATTTACCACCTTAAGTGTACAGTATTTAAGTATATAGTTCAGTAGTGTTAAGTACATTCACGTTGTTGTACAACCAATCTCAGAACTCTTTCCATTTTGTAACACTGAAACACTGCACTCACTCTCCATTCCTCCTTCCCCCAGCCTCTGGCAACCACTATTCTACTTTGTCTCTATGCATTTGACTGCTCTAGGTAGCTCATATGAATGGAATCACAAAGTATTTTTTCTTTTTGTGACAGGCTTACTTCACTTAGCAAATGTCCTCAAAGTTCGTCCATGTTGTAGCATGTTTCAAAATCTTTGCTTCTCCTTAAGGGTGAAAAATATTCTATTCTAGGAATATACCAAATATTGTTTATTCATTTACCTCTCAAAAGACACTTGGGATGCTTCCACTCTTTGGCCATTAGGATTAATGTTTCTATGAACATGGGTGTACAAATATCTCTTTAAATCTTGCTTTCACTTCTTTGGGGTATATACCTAGAAGTAGAATTGTGGGATCGTATGTTAATTCTATATTTAATTTTCTGAGGAACTTTCATACCATTTTACACTCTTACCAACAAAGTGCACAAGGGTTGCAGCTTTTCCACATCCTGGCCTAAACTTGATATCTCTGTATTTCTGTATTTATTTATTTCATAGTAGCCATCCTAACAGGTGTGAGGTGGAATCTCAGTGCAGTTTCGGTTTGCATTTCCCTGCAAGGGATTTTAAAAGAGATTTTTCAGTTGTTAGTAGTTTCAAACAGGTAATGAGCCCAAGGAAAGTCACAGAGGAAGACAGGGGTGATGGTGAGAGTTATCTTCTTTATCCCAGAACCAAATTCAATTCCAAAAATGATAAAGAGTAACATAATTAAGGGAGGTTGATCTAGTGCTAAGGCTAACACCTAATACAATTTAGATACCATGTCTCACCTACTGTAACTTTGTGGAACTTAGTTTGAACTTCTGTAATTTTAAAGCCCAGACCAATAATCCTGGAAAAATACACAGTGCAGGGAACCATTGGTCAACTATTAGTACTTTAAAGGTTTGTATAATGAAGCACAACTGCACTGAACAAATCTATGCCTTCTTCAGTCCAAGGTAAACTGTACCAGTGGAAATTTAGCGGTATGGATAAAACATAAGCCAGTGCCAATCACTTGAGGCAGCTACACACAAGAATTTGGCTTATCAAAGTATCAAAGCCTACACCTATTGCCCTAGCTATTGTGTAAGCCTCAATTTCTCCTGGAGGCAATTTAAATAGGCTCATCTTTTCAATAAAATGTCCTGAAACAATTGGATGTCCACTTGCAAAGAAACAAAACAAAAAAAGCCTAGATCACAACTTGCACCATATACAATATTTAACTCAAAATGAATACTAGATTTAAATGTAAATACTATAAAATGTCTAGAAGAAAAAAAGGGGGAGGGGAAACCTTTATATTTTAGGAATAAGCAAAGAGTTATTAGATAAAGCATAAACCATAAAAAAATTTGATATGTTGTACTTTATCATCCGTGGGAGAAAGTATTTCCAAATGATATGTCTGATTATGGGCTTGTAGCTAGAATATATTAAAAACTCAAAATTCAACAACTAAACTAAAAAAAAAAAATTTAAAAAGGGGTAAAACATTTGAACAGATAGTTTACCGAAGATGCAAAAATGGCAAGTAAGTCATGCAGATTGAAATCACAGTGTAATACCATTACATACTCATTAGACTAACAAGTTAAAAACAAAACTGACAATGCAAAGCAGAGCAGGCCGGAATCCTCACATATCATTGATGAGAATGTGAATTGTTAGAGCCTTTGAGAATTGATCTGGCAGTATCTTATAAAGCTAGACATAAATCATACAGTACGGTAAACCTATACCAAGGTATTTACCCAAGTAAAATGAAAACCTGTGTCCACACAAAAACCTGTGTGTGAATGTTCATAGCAGTTTTATTTGCAGTCCCCAAAAGCTAGAAACAACCATAGTCCATACATATGATCAAATACATACAATCAGTAACTAAAAGGCACAAACTATGGATACATGCAATGACACAGATGAATCCCACATGAGTTATTCTAAGTGAAAGAAGCTAGACTCAAAAGGCTTCAATAGTTTTGATTCCGTTTAAATGACATTCTTGAAAAGCCAAAACTATAGGGAGAAAAATAGACCAATAGTTGCCAGGGGAGAGGGATGGACTACACAAATAACGGAATTTGGGGGTGAGAGAACTACCCTCTATCGTGATTGTGGTGGTGATTAGAGACTAAATGTGTGCCAAAACTTGCAGAAGTGTATACTAAAGGAATGAATTTTACTATTGTAAATTTAACCTTAACTTTCTTTTAAGTGAGCAAAACAGTTCTTGATTGTAGAGCAAGTATACCTCTCAGTCCAACCACGTGGGTGTGAGTGCCTGCGTGCTCAGTCCGTTCAGTCGTGTCTGACTCTCTACAACCCTGTGGACTGTAGCCTGCCCATGGGATTCTCCAGATAAGAATACTGGAGTGGGTTGCCATGCCCTCCTCTGGGGGATCTTCCCGGCCCAGGGATCGAACCTGTGTCTCCTGCATTGCAGACAGATTCTTTCACCACTGAACCCACCTGGGAAGCCTTCACTTAGGTGTACTATAATAGAAAGATTCATTTTCTGTAATTCAATTTAATATTCTTGTCCCAAGTTTCTATTCTGCTAGGTTGGTAGACAAACGTATACGTCTTCCTGAGACTTATCTCCCTATCTGTGTCTCTCCCAAGCTCATGCCATAGTTTGGACTCCATATGCAAAAGCGAGGTGAGAGGACAATATGAGTTACGGTCAGAAGTCCGCAGGAGCTGCTGTATCTATTGTCACATGGTGCATGGCTCATTATTACTGTTTAACTCTCCATTGTTGCCCCGTCACTCTTGGGGAAAGGGGATTTTTCTTACAAGACTAGCTGGGTTCCAATTTTCACAGTAAGTTCTATACAGGAGGTTTCCTCTTTAGAATCCCGTTACGGCTCCATCAGCACTGCTGGGAAGCAGCAGGGAGGGGTCCTTCTGCCCTCTGGATGATAGAGCTTTCTGAATCATGCTTTCTCTCTCTCCCTCTCCCTTTTCCCTCTTTCTCTCTCTCTCTCCTCTGTTCTCTCCCAGCCCACACAGCCTCACAGGCTTACAAAGTGCCCAGAGGAAGACTCTGCTCTCTCCTCTGCCTGCTTCCGGCCAAAATACTTTGTATATATCCTTAAATACCAACCTTTTACCTACTCCACAAAACTCTCAAAGTTCCCCTGAGGGCTTAGGCTTTTCCATGACAAATGTCAGAAAGACAAGCAGGCTATTTCTGAGTTCAGCCCTTTTCCTGACTCCCCTGGGGCCATCAAGTACTGACTTAATGACAGGGGTGCAGCGGGAGGGAGGGGAGAAACCTTGGTAGGGGAAAAAAGCAGATTGATAGCTTAAAATATTATTCCACCTCACCTGGATAAAAAAATTTAAAGGCAGTGCCTTTGTTGTAGTTTCCTTTACAGGAAGATGAAAATACCTGCATTAACAACGTCATTCTACAAGGTACCATAAAAGTTGGGATTTGATTTGACATGGTTAAAATTACATTATAAAATTATATTATTCTACAGAATTCAGAAACAGAATCATTTTTGAATGTAAGGAATAAATGTGGGAACCAAGTGAAAAGAATGTGCATAAAATCTTACTGCGAAAAACTGTGGTTCTATCAGCATTCTGGACAGTTGTTCTGAAGCGAAAAAAAAAAAAAGAGAGAAAAAGAGAAACAGATTCTAAAAGCTAAAATTTATGAAAACTGTGCTGCCAAACGTTAAGTAAAAAATAATCAGTGAAAAAGACTAATTAATTCACATATTACATGTTCTCCTTTTTTAATCTTCCCCAATGATAATCATGTACTTTGGAGAGGGACATCTGGAAACCTAAGCTAACTTAAAACAGTCTTTTTCTAGGAAGTAACTAGCCAGGAATCTCCATATTCTGAAGGTTGCTGTCAGCTTACCCCTGCCTCCAGCCCCAGATGAAGTCAGCCTGCCTTGGTAGCAGACAGTCCAAACAATCCATACTGGCTCTGTGGGTAGAGCATCATCTCCAGATGCCCAGGATTCAGGAAAGTTACTGTTCAGGTATAATGATGCCACTTACTGTATAACCCAGTGACTTGCCGGTGGGTTAGAGGGACCACATTTAGTTGGGTAGGCAGCCATCCTGGTTTCCCCCTGGGTGTATATGGTAGAAGTGAGGTGGTGACTTCCCCATCACACAAAGTATTCAAGCAGGCAATAGATGACTTTGGAGGACACACTGCAGAGGAGATTCAAAGGCAGTTGATCTAAATGACCCATAAAATCTCCCGCCACCATAAGACCTTAGGATTCTATGAAATTCCCTGCTTACAAAGAAGTGAGAAAAAAATACTATGTGATGAGAAACTCTCTTCCTACTTGAAGCCTGGCTGATACCATACAGAAATGAAAATAAATGATATGATATTCAGGAGTTATATAACCTGAGATATAAATAATAGTGTACAAAATAGGGAATTTTTTTAACTTTTTATTTTATATTGGAGTATAGTTGATTAACAATGTCATGATAGTTTCAGGCACACAGCAAAGTGACTAAGTTATACATATACATGTATCTATTTTTTTCCCAAGGGAGTATTTTTTTCCATATACATCAACTCAGTAAAACACTTGTAGTGATATATATGATTCTTCATTTGAAGTAAGTTTATGTTCTATGACTGTTCTGGGATTTTATCATTTTCTGAATGCAGGAGACCTTATTAATTTGTGTGTGTGTGTGTGCGTGCGCGTGTGCGGGTGCGTGTGCATGCGCGCACTCAGTCATGTCTGACTCTCTGTGACCCCATGGACTACAGCCCTCCAGGTTCCACTTTCCTTGGCTAAAAAGTTGTATGACTCTTGGGGAAAAAAGGCTAATGTATGGAATTTCTATAGAGGAATGATGTTGCATTGCTTTCAAGTCTTCATGTTGTTGCAAAGGTAATGACAAAGTAAATCAATAGAAAAAAAGCGTAATTTGTAATAGATATATTATGAAGCAGAAGGTATGTTTAAGAGTATTTTTTAATTTTTTGAGCCACTGGGTTGAAAAGAACTAATATTTTCATTTTGACCAATTGCTCTCAAAAGAAAAGACATTAAATGTATTCAGATGGAGACACTGTTTCCAGCCTTTAATCAATATATATTACATACAACCTGTGTGAAGTTCTGTGGACCCCCAAAATGAGATCAAGTCAGTTAAATCCCCCCTTTACATTCTTCTCTACAAAAGGTCATGTGAAGAAATCAAGTCTTAAAAGTCATGGGGTGCTGCTGTGCTTCATGTGCTTAGTTGTGTCCGACTCTTGCGACCCCATACACTATAGCCTGCCAGGCTCCCCTGTAAAAGTCATAGGGTGGTGGCAGGCAAATGGAAAAATCTATGTATCTTTTTGGTCAATTTTGTTGTGAACCTAAAACTGCTCTATTTTAAAAAAAAAAGTATACTCAAAAAAAAATTCAGGAGATTATATTTTACCTAGATCTTTCTAGGAAAGCAGATATTATTTTTTCAAGTTAAAAAAATTAGATTGTGGGCTTTTAAATAATTTTAAAAAACTATTTCACTAATTTTAAATATTACTAATAGAAGAACACTAGGGGAAAAAAATTTAAGAANAAAATAAATGGAAAAAAAAAAGAAAAAGCATGGCTTTAGGAGTTATTCATTCATTCATTCATCCAACAAATATGTGAATTCCCAACATAAGCCAGGTTCTCTGCCAGGAGCTGGGAACTTCATTATAAATGAAGCAGACAAAATTGCAAACTTTTCAGAGTTTACAGTGTAATGGAGGAGATAGTTGCTAAATAATCATACAAATAAATGTATTTAAAACTGTGATGCTTGCCACAAGAAAGAGCTAAAGGCAGGTTGGAAAATATATCATGATAGGTGACATGATTTAGATGGAGACTGGGGGTCAGGGGTAAACAAATAAAAGAAAAATTTCTCAGAGACTTGAAGCCTGAGGAGCTGACAGGCGAATTTTTGAGGAGAAGAGATTGCAGGGAGTATTCCAGGCAAAAGAAAAAGCGTGCAAGTGCCTTGAAGTAAAAAAGCTTGACATATTCAAGGCACTAGCAGAAGGCCAGGGTCACCACCATTGGTGGTTTTTGTATTCTTGCTATCATGATAATAATCTCATACTGTTTTTGAGAATGGGTTTCCCTGGTAGCTCAGTTGGTAAAGAATCTGCCTGTAATGCAGGAGACCCCAGTTCGATTCCTGGGTTGGGAAGATGTCCTGGAGAAGGGGTAGGCTACCCACTCCAGTATTCTGGCCTGGAGAATTCCATGGACAGTCCATGGGGTCACAAAGAGTCGGACATGACTGAGAGACTTTCACTTTCACTTTAATTTTCATTTTTGAGAATAGGCTAGAATAATTATGAATATTGACACACTAAATTCTACTTAGGCTAAACTTCAACAAATGTTTCCAATTTAGAATATCTCTGTGTCTAAGGCAAACTCTGAAAGACATTTGAGATATCCTCTATTCTGTAGGCTTCAAAGAGAAAGTCAACCTGTTAGAATTAAGAATTTTAAAAAGAAAATTGATAGACCAGAATCTATGATGAGAAAAGCTAAGCGACCCAAAGCTATAACACATGAACAACAGCTGAAGTTCCCAAGGCTGGTGGTGATGAAAAAGAGAAAACAAAGGAGACACAATCTTGATCCCGTGCACCTAGTCAAGCTTTCATGTGGATAAGAGGAAATGTCAACTATTTTGAATAGACACCAGATGATTTCACAGTTAAGGTTTGCAGGAGGGCAGAATGTTCCTCCGGCTTCTTAGGTGGCACTAGTGGTAAAGAACCTGCCTGCCAATGTAGGAGATGTAAGAGACACGGGTTTGACCCCTGGGTTGGGAAGAACCCCTGGAGGAAGGCATGGCAACCCACTCCACTATTCTTGCCTGGAGAATCTCATGCACAGAGGAGTCTGGCGGGCTACAGTCCATAAGGTCACGAAGAGTCAGACACAACTGAAGTGAGGCGGCACTCACAAAATATTCCTCAGTATACAAGAAAGAACTAAATAAGAATGGGAAATGCCTAATTGTGCAGAGAGAAGAAACTGGTACTCCTCTGGAATTCATAAATAAATCATAAATGTAAGTACATATTATATTACCCCTTGGGGACACTTAGAAAAGATTCAGATATCTTTAAAGACCAATGTAGTAAACAACCTCTAAAGGGTCTTCCAGCATTGAGAAATGCCATTGAAAAATGTCACCTTAACAGAAAGATACAAGAAACTATTCTCAGTAAAAGTGAAATCTCATCTCTCAAAACTCTTAATCATTTAAGAGACTGGCACTGTGACCAAGAGTGAGGTGGCCTTAATACCATGGCCATCAGAGAGCTGTAGAGAGCTTTGTAAACCATAAATGGTTTCAAAAAATTGTTTATTAGTGGAGAGAAAGTTTTTATTCATCAGAAACCTTCTTTAGCATTACCCAATATGAGTTTGGAAGAAACAGTTTTATGATGAAAATTAGGGTAGGAGGTAAGAACCCCAGGTGGTTGGCTTGAGCAGAGATGTTCTGTAACAGGTCTGGGAAAAAGTTATTTTATAATTTCTAGAAGTGGGTGGGGATGGGACAGAATTAGAGTCAGAGCAGGTGATAAAGGTGGAAGAGCTATGCAAATGAAGGTAATGGGGCAGAAGAAGACATTTAATATGAGATAAAAAGCAAGGGTGACCCAAGAGAGAAGGTATGTTCAAGAAAGTGCAAGAATTAATTGTTTGGTTGTATGTTGAATGAGCTAGTCTGGTGAAAAGGTAAGCTTTGCTCATGAAAAAATAAACCCTGATCCAGTTCTTAATGTTAAGTTCCTGTTAGTCTTCTGATCATATGAATATAGTCCTTTATTGGTACAAATGAGATATTTGTTCTGGGATGCCCTAGAGTTTTTCTTAAAGAATCTGGCAATTCAGGATGAGCCAAGGGCAAGCCCTGACTTTATGTTGACTTAAGTATGATTAGGAGATAAGATGGGACATAGAGATTTTATTGGGTCATCTTGCTGATGAAATTTTAAAAGGTAACATGCTATGTCTCTCCTTAAGTTTCCCTCTCAAATCCACCCCAGGTAGGGGACTGGAACATTAGGTAGTATTTACTGAGTGTCTATTATCTGCCAAGTAGTGCATAAGTGTTTTGTTTTGTTTTTCCTCAATGCAAGCCTATAAGATAAATGCTATTCTCATCTTACAGCAGAAGAGGTTAACTCCTTTATTCATTTCATTTAGTCATTCATTTATTGAGTCATTTTACCACTGAGTGGTAAAACACAGTTACTGAGTTAAGCACCTCTTATGTGCTACTATGGGTGGGGACATCTACCAGGTCCTCTACAGGGGGAAACTGCCAGGAACTACTATAAAAGTCACCTATGTCCAGTACCTCTTTTTCTGAATAGTACCACTTCTATTTTGGGAGATCTTCTTCTTTCTCCAGTCTATCCTATATGTATCACTAAAATTTCCATTTTCTCATCTACCCCCTATTCCCTGACCACAAGAAATAGTCAACTAAATTTGGGGATTTGGAACTAAGAGCAAATCAAAATAAGGCCTGGTTGATAGCTGAAAGCTATGAGATGAAATATTGAGGAGTTGAAATGGGTCATGAGTTTTGCCAGCTGGAGGAAGTCCGTAGTGAAAGGGAAAACTAAAGCTGACAAAGTGACAAACAGCAGAGACATGAGGCAGAGACTGGGTCCTGAAGGCAGTTGTATATCTGCTCTGTTGTATGCTTGTCTCTAGGTGTTCACCTTTTCCTGAGAGTCCATGAGTATATCCCAAGATACTTACTGGGCTAAACATGGAAGATATAAAGATGAAAAACTCACAGTCCCTGCCTTACAGCACTTTCAAGAGGTGCTTCATAAGGACACGTGTGTGGGTATAAGTTATTATGACATTATCAGTGGGGCAGGGAGGTGATCCCCTACATTGTGTATCTGAATCATCCAACTACTCATCTTTTGCAAAATCTTAATTCACTTCCTCCCTCCACACATGGGCATTTATGACTAAGAACCTGGCTATGCACAGTAATTGATGCAAGGTCAAGGGATCTGCAAATATTTTCTATAAGGGACCAGATAATAAATATTTTGACTTTGGGGACTATATAGACTCTGTCACAGCTATTCAGTTCTGCTCTTATAGTGCAAAAGCAGCCAATATTTATGTGAATGATCATGACTGTGTTCCAAAAACAAATCATCTCCACTGGATTTGGACCATTATGTTCTGTAACAGGTCTGGGAAAAAGTTATTTTATAATTTCTAGAAGTGGGTGGGGATGGGACAGAATTAGAGTCAGAGCAGGTGATAAAGGTGGAAGAGCTATGCAAATGAAGGTAATGGGGCAGAAGAAG